GGAGTATTTAGCTAAATATCACTTGTACTAATATAACCCTTTAATTTATTGTAATTTTACATAGTGAGACACTAAATGACTAATATATCTCTGACTTTTGATTTGTTTCCTTCAATTAGCTATTGAATTATAAATGTATTTTAAAAGTTGATAACTTTTGTTTTTCTTTTCGGTTTTACATATATAATATACCAAATTAATCATCTTTTGATGATCTTCGATTTGACATCCATATTGTATATATGAAATAAATAAATTATATTTATATTTATAATAATAAAAAATTATAATATTTATTAAAATTCATTAGAACAATAAAATTATTTCTCAATTGATATATTTATGTTTAATGTAATTATATGTTGTAAGTTAAAAGGAAATTATTATAATATAACACAGGCATGTCGCACAAATAAAAAGTGTCATGCTAAATATATAATAATATATATTTTTATAAAAGGTATTTAAATTTTCAACTACTTTTTCTCATTAATTTTAGATTTTAAGAAAAAATTAGCAAGCACCCGTGTAATACACGGGCGTTGTACTAGTTATAAAGGAAAGCAGCAACAAGGTGAAAGAGGGGAAAACTAGAAGTACAAGAAGAAGAAAGATCGGAAACTGATTGGAATCAGCAAAGCTCCCACCTGAGAGAATTATCGGCAAAGCTCCCACCTGAGAGAATTCCAAATGATGATTTAATTTATCTTTTTTATTATTAGTTTCTCCCTTTTTAGAATTTTTTTAACGAAATTTAATTTTCTAATCCCTTTCTTGTATTTTTTTTCTAATGTAATTTAATTTTCTAAGTCCATTACAATGTGATTTTCGAATCATTTTCTATCAATTAGTGCCAATATTCATATTTTTTATTTTAAAATAATATTTTTTACTGGTTACTTTTAATTGGAATATGTAATAAAACAAAAAAAAAATGATTGTTACTTGTTAGTTACCTATTTTACATACGAAACAAATATCTTTCAGTATGAAACATCACTAGTATTCGACCTGTGCATTTGCACAGATGTAAATAAAATATTGTGAAGTATTGTGAGTTATTTGTATGCATATAATGATTAATTATTTTTCTTTCACTTTTTTGCATGCCAACATTTACAAATAAAGAAGTTGGGATATTTACTTTTTTTTTTAAATTGCGTTTATCTGATTGGATGTAATGTATATTTTGGTACGTATTTTTTTTTTTGAATTATTTATCATTAATTTAGGAATTTCAAATATGTTTTTAATTTTTTTTTAAAAAAAATAATTTAAATGTAACCACAATAATAACATCTAATCACATTGTACGATCAACACATTATATAGTCAACTGTCACTAATAAAAAGTTTAAAATGATTTTTGTATTTTTGAAGTGATTAGTATTGATTATTTAATAATTAAATAAAAGATTAAATACATAAAAAGTAACGATTTTTGGAGGGGAAAGTATTAAATTGCCACATAGGTAAAATTAAGTAGGTTTTATTAAATGCTATTGGCTAATAATTATATATATATAGATATATAAATATATATTTTTTAAAAAATAATTGTTTATAAGATTCTAAAGTTGTTTAACTATGTTATTTAAACAATTTATTAATTGTTTTTAAAGAAACTTTTTATGAAATACAAAAGAAAAAGATAATATTGATTTTAAAATAATAACTTTAAACAATTGTTTATAATTATGTAATTTATATTTATTGTAAATTATTATTAGTTGGTATTAGCAATAACTATTATATAATATAATAAAAACATATATAATTATACTCGTCAAGATGTATTAATGTGAGAAATAAAAATTATTAATGACAAATTTTTTAACCAAAAATGGAGGGAAAATTTTAGAGGTTTTATTAAATAAGTTTTATTAAATGCTACATGTCAGCAATTATATATATATAGATTTATTAACAATGACATTCAAACAAATATGCATTTCAATAACTTGGGTTACCACCCATGTAAATGCATTATCAAGAAATTAAAAAAAAAAAAA